TGCCGTGTGGTCCTTATTTCCACTATTTTATCTTCCAGGTCCCTTATCCGTTCTTCTGCCTCAGTTATTCTGCTATTGATTCCTTCTAGAGAAGTTTTAATTTCATTTATTGTGCTGTTCATCATTGTTTGTTTGCTCTTTAGTTCTTCTAGGTCCTTGTTAAACGTTTCTTGTATTTTCTCCATTTTATTTCCAAGATTTTGGATCATCTTTACTATCATTACTCGGAATTCTTTTTCAGGTAGACAGCCTATATCCTCTTTATTTGTTTGGACTGGTGGGTTTTTACCTTGCTACTTCATCTGCTGTGTGTTTTTCTATCTTCTCATTTTGCTTATCTTACTGTGTTTGGGGTCTCCTTTTCGCAGCCTGCAGGTTTGTAGTTCCCGTTGTTTTTGGTGTGTGCCCCCAGTGGTTAAGGTTGGTTCAGTGGGTTGTGTAGACTTCCTGGTGGAGGGGACTGGTGCCTATGTTTTGGTGGGTGCAGCTGTATCTTGTCTTTCTGGTGGGCAGGTCCATGTCTGGTGGTGTGTTTTGGGGTGTCTGTGGCCTTGTTATGATTTTAGGCAGCCTCTCTGCTAATGGGTGCGGTTGTGTTCCTATCTTGCTCATTGTTTGGCATAGGGTGTCCAGCATTGTAGCTTGCTGGTTGTTGAGTGGAGCTGGGTCTTAGCATTGAGATGGAGATATCTGGGAGAGCTTTCCCTGTTTTATATTATGTGGATTTGGGAGGTCTCTGGTGGACCAATGTCCTGAACTTGGCTCTCTCACTTCAGAGGCACAGGCGTGACACACGGCCAGAGCACCAATACTGTGTCCACCACATGGCTTAGAAGAAAAGGGAGAAAAAATGAAAGAAAGAAAGATGAACGACTATAATAAAACAAAGTTATTAAAATTGAAAAAATTATTAAATATAAAAAAGAAAGAAAGATGAGAGCAACCAAAGCAGAAAAAAAATCCACCAATGATATCAAGTGCTAAAAACTGTTTTAAAAATTAAAATTAAAATAAATGGACAGAGAGAATCTTAGGACAAATGATAGAAGGAAAGCTATACAGACAAAATCACACAAAGAAGCATACACATACACACTGACAAAAACAGAAAAAGGAAAAAAATCATATATCTATATCTATATCTATATATAAAGGAAGAGAGCAACCAAATCAATAAACAAATCTACCAATGAAAAAAATCTCTATATACTCAACTAAGATAAACATAAAACCAGAAACAAATTAGATGCAGAAAGCAAACCCCAAGTCTACAGTTGCTCTCAAAGTCCACTGCCTCAATTTTGGAATGATTCGTGTCTATTCAGGTATTCTACAGATTCAGGGTACATCAAGGTGATTGTGGAGATTTAATCTGCTGCTCCTGAGGCTGCTGGGAGAGATTTCCCTTTCTCTCCTTTTTTCCCACAGCTCCTGGGATTCAGCTTTGGATCTCGCCCCACCTCTGCGTGTAGGTTACCTGTTCCCACCCGGACAGGACAGGGTTAAAGGAGCAGCTGATTAGGGAGCTCTGGCTCACTCAGGCCGGGGTGAGGCAGGGGTACGGATACGGGGCGAGCCTGCGGGGCAGAGGCCGGCATGATGTTGCAGCAGCCTGAGGCACGCCATGCATTCTCCCAGGGAAGTTGTCCCTGGATCACGGGACCCTGGCAGTGGTGGGCCGCACAGGCTCCCGGGAGGGGCTGTGTGGATAGTGACCTGTGCTTTCACACAGGCTTCTTGGTGGCTGCAGCAGCAGCCTTAGCGTCTCATGCCCGTCTCTGGGGTCCATGCTGATAGCCACGGCTCGCGCCCGTCTCTGGAACTCGTTTAGGCGCTCTGAATCCCCTCTCCTCGCGCACCCTGAAACAATGGTCTCTTGCCTCTTAGGCAGCTCCAGACTCTTCCTGGACTACCTTCTGGCCAGCTGTGGCGCACTAGCCCCCTTCAGGCTGTGTTCACGCAGCCAACCCCAGTCCTCTCCCAGCGCTCCAACCGAAGCCCAAGCCTCAGCTCCCAGCCCCCACCCTCCCCGGCGGGGTAGCAGACAAGCCTCTCGGGCTGGTGAGTGCCGGTCGGCCCTGATACTCTGTGCGGGAATCTCTCCGCTCTGCCCCCCGCACCCCTGCGGCTGCGCTCTCCTCCGCGGCTCCGAAGCTTCCGCCCTCCGCCACCCGCAGTCTCCGCCCGTGAAGGGGCTTCCTAGTGTGTGGAAACCTTTTCTCCTTCACGGCTCCCTCCCACTGGTGCAGGTCCTCTCCCTGTTCTTTTGTCTCTGTTTTTTCTTTTTTCTTTTGCCCTACCCAGGTACATGGGGAGTTTCTTGCCTTTTGGGAGGTCTGAGGTCTTCTGCCAGCGTTCAGTAGATGTTCTGTAGGAGTTGTTCCACACATAGATGTATTTCTGGTGTATTTGTGGTGAGGAAGGTGATCTCCATGTCTTACTCCTCCAACATCTTGAAAGTCTACCCCACAGCATTACTTTTTATTTTGCCATTCCTTTTATTCTATTATCTAAGGTGAACCTTAGCATGGATTTCCCAGATTATCACATGTCACAGCTAGTTAATTGCACCACTTTCAATAGTACTGAATTATCGTTGTGGTCTAGGGACATAGGTTCTTCTCAAATCCTGGGAAAATAGTGGCTTCAACCCAACCACTCCAAGAAATGAAACTTCCATATTAATAGAAATAAACTTTTCTAAAGGAAGTGATACTATTTCTATTCTCTTTCAAAATGTTCATACTTGCAATTTGTTATGCTGAGAAGTCTATAATAATAATTGAGAAGAAGATTGAATATAGGAATTTGGAGGCCACTGTTATCTTCAGTTGAAGGAGACTGGTGAAGAGCAGTAGGTGTGATTACATAAGATAAATGCAAATCTTGCCATTTCCAGAGGATAGTAATGATGCTGATGATGGGAATCTTTTGAAGAAACTAGAATTGTTACACAGTAGCTGTCTCAATTTATATAAAATGTTGTCATTAATTAAAAGGAGTAGTTTTGCTGATATATCCATGAATTAAAGTGATGAGAGTAGTTTCAATCTACAGGACTCAATTCTCTTCAGAAATGGATTGTGTTGTAGTATGATGTGATCTTTGAGCTTGTGTAGTTTGGGGTCACATATATCTTGACTCAGTCTGGAGTGTACTATTTTCTAGCCCTGTATCCTTGCAAAGGTTGTTTATCCCCGACCTATAATTTTATTCTCTCTATTTGTAGGATTAGAAAGAGTACTAAAGTCACTGAAATGATGTGAAAATTATATTTCAAAAAGATATATTAAAAAGTTCCTTGTATAATTCTGGGTACAAAGTAAAAAGCACAGAAGTTGCTCAATTAATTATTGTCATTTTTATCGCAGCATGGTGAATATTGTCAATGCACATAAAGAATGAATGCTTATAAGAACTGGGGTGGGGCTTCCCTGCTGGCGCAGTGGTTGAGAGTCCGCCTGCAGATGCAGGGGACACGGGTTCGTGTCCCGGTCTAGGAAGATCCCACATGCCGTGGAGCAGCTGGGCCCGTGAGCCATGGCCGCTGAGCCTGTGCATCCGGAGCCTGCGCATCCAGAGCCTGTGCTCTGAAATGGGAGAGGCCACAACAGTGAGAGGCCCGCGTACCACACACACACACAAAAAAAACAAAGAACTGGGGTGGGGTGTGAATTAATGCTGAACTTTAGACAAACAATTGGCCTCTAAAGTCCATTCTAAATCTGACATATTACATTTATACTAATATAAAGTGTAATAATTATCTAACATAGATTTATATGTTTAAAATTTTATGATTATATCAAAAGATATAATTCATAGTTTTCCCATAGTGTTCTATTTCCTGAACACTCTGTAATGTATTCATTAGCAAAGTCTTCTTCTATCTTTTCTTAGGATAAAGCAAGAGAAGTTGAATAATAAGGGTCATATCCCCAGTAAAATGAGGAAATCCTAATGGGAAACAGCAATAGGAATTGAACTGTTTTTTACATAAAATATTACATTCTAAAGCTAAGTTATTGTGCCAAAGGCTGACTTTGAGTCCTTTATCCATTTCTCAGCCCCCTGCAGACTATGATTTGGGCAGTTGGCTTTATTACATTGTTAGGTTAAGGGCTACAAATGTACCTTCAAGACCCTCCATTCCATGTAGGTTGCCTCCTATAAGCCCCTTTCTCTCTGCGTTTTCTGGAGGTGCCATTAAACTCAGTCATAGCATTAGGAGACAAACATGAAAAACATTTTCACTTAGATTAAATTATTGACTAACTTTCAATTTCCTCTGGTTTATGGGAGACATTCTTATCTGTAAAGAGGTATGGACTATACTCTCCATACAACAGTTATAATTCTGTCACATCATCAGTTACCAGGGGTGCTGTTTTACAGTTGTCCACAGAATCATAGAATTTTTCAGTGTTGATGTACCTGAAAAATCAAAGTGCCTTGTATTCAACTGTACAAGTTAAGTAATTCCCCCAAATCTACAACACTAAATTTTGATGCAAAAAAGGACCAGATTAAAGGTCTCCTAAAATGCAATAATTTTCTCTCCACTTCCTCAATTCTTCACACACTCACACATACATTTGTCAAAATATCTCTATCTTCAAGTAAGAGAAATGATGTTCCTAAAAGGCTCAAACGTGTGACACACCACTGACAAGCACAGAACTGGCTCACAGTAGGGGCCCAATTAAAATGTCTCAGATACAACTGGATCAAACCCTTAAAGTACTAAATTAGAGCAGTCCTTTTAGTGGAGGAAATTCTAAGTTTCAGAAGAAGACCTTCATATTGAATCTCCGACCAGCAAATGATGATACTATTCATCTCTGATGCTGATTGGTTTTTCTAACACTGAGATCACCCAATCCAGGAAGAAAGAGTGCATTGGTTAGTATTGTTTGGCCATGTAGGTTGAGAAGCATCCTAGTCCTCACTGAGTGACACTTACCTGCTCTCTCACACTCTGTCTTCTCCTGTTCCCCTGCATGATGTGTCTGTGGTTCCCTGGATGGCAGCTCTGACAGTGATACTGATGGTGCTGAGCACTTCCCTCACTTGGGCCAGGGACACCTGAAGTAAGTGCGCACCTTGTGGGGGTGAGCTACAGTGGGTGGGAGAAGAAAGGGAGTTACCTTTGTCTCTGTGTCCAGACCAGGTCCCTTAAAAAATTGTGACATTTTCTTCAGTCATCACCTATCTTTATCATGTGGATCCTCCATTCTTTCCACAACAAAAAACTACCACTGGCATTTTTCACAGAACTAGAACAAAAAATTTCACAATTTGCATGGAAACACAAAAGACTCCAAATAGCCAAAGCAATCTTGAGAATGAAAAATGGAGCTGGAGGAATCAGGCTCCCTGACTTCAGACTATACTACAAAGCTACAGTAATCAAGACAGCATGGTACTGGCACAAAAACAGAAATATAGATCAATGGAATAGGGTAGAAAGCCCAGAGATAAACCCACACACATATGGTCAGCTTATCTTTGATAAAGGAGGCAAGAATATACAATGGAGAAAAGACAGCCTCTTCAATAAGTGGTGCTGGGAAAACTGGACAGGTACATGTAAAAGTATGAGATTAGAACACTCCCTAACACCATACACAAAAATAAGCTCAAAATGGATTAAAGACCTAAATGTAAGGCCAGAAACTATCAAACTCTTAGAGGAAAACATAGGCAGAACACTCTATGACATAAAGCACAGCAAGATCCTTTCTCACCTCCTAGAGAAATGGAAATAAAAACAAAAATAAAGAAATGGGACCTAATGAAACTTCAAAGCTTTTGCACAGCAAAGGAAACCAGAAACAAGACCAAAAGACAACCCTCAGAATGGGAGAAAATATTTGCAAATGAAGCAACTGACAAAGGATTAATCTCCAAAATTTACAAGCAGCTCATGCAGCTCAATAACAAAAAAGCAAACAGCCCAATCCAAAAATGGGCAGAACACCTAAATAAACATTTCTCCAAAGAAGATATACAGATTGCCAACAAACACATGAAAGAATGCTCAACGTCATTAATCATTAGAGAAACGCAAATCAAAACTACAATGAGGTATCATCTCACACCTGGTTGGTTCCAACCTGCTGGTTGGAATATAAATTGATACAGCCACTATGGAGAACAGTATGGAGGTTCCTTAAAAAACTACAAATAGAACTACCATATGACCCAGCAATCCCACTACTGGGCATATACCCTGAGAAAACCATAATTCAAAAAGAGTCATGTACCAAAATATTCATTGCAGCTCTATTTACAATAGCCAGGAGATGGAAGCAACCTAAGTGTCCATCATCGGATGAATGGATAAAGAAGATGTGGCACATATATACAATGGAATATTACTCAGCCATAAAAAGAAACGAAATTGAGCTATTTGTAATGAGGTGGATAGACCTAGAGTCTGTCATACAGAGTGAAGTAAGTCAGAAAGAGAAAGACAAATACCGTATGCTAACACATATATATGGAATTTAAGAAAAAAAAATGTCATGAAGAACCTAGGGGTAAGACAGGAATAAAGACACAGACCTACTAGAGAATGGACTTGAGGATATGGGGAGGGGGAAGGGTAAGCTGTGACAAAGCGAGAGAGAGGCATGGACATATATACACTACCAAACGTAAGGTAGATAGCTAGTGGGAAGCAGCCGCATAGCACAGGGAGATCAGCTCGGTGCTTTGTGACCACCTAGAGGGGTGGGATAGGGAGGGTGGGAGGGAGGGAGACGCAAGAGGGAAGAGATATGGGAACATATGTATATGTATAACTGATTCACTTTGTTATAAAGCAGAAACTAACACACCATTGTAAAGCAATTATACTCCAATAAAGATGTAAAAAAAAGGGCCTTGGATGCTTGCCTTCTGAGTGCTGCTCAAGGTGCCCCCATATATATGGGATATTTCTTCTCAACTGTCTCCAATAAAACCTCTCCAGCCTAACATCCCATTCCCTCAGGATCTTAAGAGGATTTAGAAGTAAAGATGTCAGAATAATTCCACATCATGAAATTCCCTGTATTATGTTGAGTTATGTCAGAAAAAGGAAAAGTTTCTCTGAAAGTTTCACAGGGAATCTCAAGGAATTAGAAAGATCTGTCCTACAAGATCCCATGTTATATCCTTAACAGGATCTATGATGTTGCTGTCTCTCCCTAACATGTGAGAGTGTATCAAAGGGCATCCCTCATTATATGTTTTCCTACCTCTCTGAACCACAATGTTTAAATGTCCTGTATCCCTATCCTGGAGGTTCTCTGACAGAAGTTGGAGTTAGTTTTCTCTCTATTTCTCCTGGGTAAAGCACCCTGGAGCTGAATCATGGATTCTTAGTACTTGGAATGACCCTGTAGATAAGGAGCACCTATGGGGTGTTCTTTGATGCCTTAAAGAACTTAAGTCATCTTCGGAAAACCAGACATATGTTAGTGTTCTTTATAAATCTATTTTGAATCTTTCTACATGATTAGTTTCTCCTACATCTCCCCATACTCTGGCCTGAGCACATGTGAAGGGATTCAACTAGTAGAGAATAAATTATAAGAAATTCTGTTTTTGTAAGTTAAAAGTAGTCAAATATCAAAATTTTCAAATGGTAAACCATGAACCCTGAGTAGGGTCCTGAGAATGTGAAGGTTGTTTCCATCCCATTGGGCTGAAAGCCAATAAGCAACTTAAGGGAACTCATTAGCCTATCAGGTTTTGGCCCCAAATTTCATAGGTTCATTAATAATACCCTTTGATTTCCTTAATTAGTCATGTTTGGTGTACTCTCCTTCTGGTTCTTTCCTATTCTTTCCTCAGCTATGTTATCACCATTACTGAAAATCCCCAAAGTTTGCACAGACCCTTAGCACTATAACAGATCAATCACCTTTTCCTTTCCTGTGAATGTTTCTTCTAACTAGCAGGAGGAGCAAAAGGAAGTTTGCCTGAATTTCTCCCAGGAAATGAAAAGAATATCATGTGTCATCAGAATAAAACAGTTTTGGAGGTGAGCCCTTTCTTGCTTCCCAGGATTCCCACAAAGATCCATTTCCAGAACACTGGATTTATTCATTTTGACCACAAATATTTGTTTTTCTGAGCAACTATTATATACTGGGCTCTGTTCTTGGCTCAGAGAATTCTATCTGAATAACATAGGAAAGTACCCTACTGTCATGAACTTACCTAATGACAAGAGAGGAAGACAACAACCCAATAAACATTTAACAAGGAAAAACATTTCAGAGAGCAATAAGTACTCTGAAAAAAAATACATCAGGGTTATAGAACAGAGAGAATTGTATTCACCTGACTTCAGTTCAAGTGTCTAGGGAGCTCTCCAGGAAAAGGTGACATTCAATTGAGACATAAATGATGAGAAACCAGACATGTGAGGAATCTGAGGGACAAGTGCTCCAGGGAGAGGGAGCAGTGGAAAGGACGACGTGTGGGAAGATCTTTGCTGTGTTTAAGGGACAGAATGAAGGTTAGAGTGACTGAAGCAAAGCAAGAAGGTTGGGGAGTGGGAAAAGATGAGGTCAGAGAGGAAATCTGGAGCCAAATCACATTAGGCTCTGATGGCCATGGTGAGAACTTTGACTTTTATTTACAGAGATTCGTGAAGCTACTGAGAGATTATAAGGAGAGTCAGTTTGTTTATTTTTAAAAATAATCCTAACTACCACATGGAGACTGGATTCCAGAGGTTCACAAGTGGAGTCAAGGACTCCATTTAGGAACACTGTAGAATTCTCCAGGCAGATGTGCTTGTGGCTTCATTTAGTGTGGTAGTGACAAAGACAATAGTAAAGATAAAGTGAACAGATTTGGGGTAGATTGTTGTGTGGCTTATTATTTTTTAACTTTGTCATGTGACAGGGAGGTATTAGAGAATTTCTGAATAGTAAGTGGACCTGGTCTGATCCAGAGCACACCCCTCTCTGGCATCATTTATTTATTTATTTTTAAAACATCTTTATTGGAGTATAATTGCTTTACAGAGTTGTGTTTTTTTCTGCTGTATAACAAAGTGAATCAGCTATATGTATACATATATCCCCGTATCCCCTCTCTCTTGCACCTCCCTCCCTCCCTCCCTATCCCACCCCTCTAGGTGGTCACAAAGCACAGAGCTGATCTCCCTGTGCTATGCAGCCGCTTCCCACTAGCTATCTATTTCACATTTGGTAGTGTATATATGTCAGTGCCACTCTCTCACTTCGTCCCAGCTTACCGTTGTCCCTCCCCATGTCCTCAAGTGCATTCTCTACATCTGCATCTTTATTCCTGGCCTGCCTGGCATCATTTCTAAGTGAAGGTCTCTACTCAAAGTCTGGGGTCCTGTTCTTTTTCTGTAAACTGTCTATATGAGAATGTTATTTCTTCTAACTTTCTCCCTTACTGAGGGTAATTGACTACAGAAATAGAGAGTTCTACATCTGGCCAAGGCTGGTAATTTGATGCCTACTGGTATGATTGGGTGCAGGAGACAAAGTTAGAAAATGAATTTGTTGGGGCTTTGAATAGGAATAAAATATCTGCGGCTGTAGTTTTCTACTATAGATAAGTAGTGGACCAATGGCAGAGAAATTAAGAAGGAAGATGATGTGAAGAATAAATTATATGTCTTTTTAATTGACTGGCAAGGCAAAGAAATAAGTAAGCCATATTCGAATTTATTTTGCTGGAAAAATAGCTCTCCACTGGGGCTGAATTCTTGTAAACTAGAAATTTCATATAGGAACAAGATTTTCAACAGATATAATACTGGCAAAACTTTTAATGTAATTCTCAGTGCTCCATAATTAACAGTGACTTTTGACCACAGATTTTCAGATGGTTCATACTAGTGGAGCTCATCCAGTGACAGATCACCACTCCTTCCCCCTTCTCCTTGACGCCGGAATATTTGGCAATATCTGGAGCCATTTTTGGTTGTTACACTGAAGGTTTCTTCTGACATCAAGTGGGTAGAGGCCAGGGATGCTGGTAGAAAGCCTACAATGTACAGAACACACCCCCTCACCTCCAGAGACATATTTGATCTCTTACCTCATCAGGTCAGATTTGCCAAGTGAATTATGGCACCAAATTTAAAAAAGTTTGGTTTTCTGAGCTATCTGGATTTGGAAATGCAGAAAAGAAAAGGTAGAAGTGTATTGGGATCATGGTTTTAATTTCCTTAAAACTCTTCAAAAGTTTCCCATTACATTTAGCATAAATTCCAAACCATAACATCACCCATAAGCCTTTTAAGTACCTGGCTGCTGTGGTTTTTCAGTGGAATCTTTTACCCCCCTTCCTCACTCTCTGTGCTTAGTGAAATATTTTCTTCTGGTTTCTTGCAGAAGTTCATCATCTCTTTCAAGCTTTTACACATGCTACTACCTTTACCTGAAATATGCCTTCTTTTTCTCCCAAACATGCACCCCCCCACACATCTTTCCCTCACCCCACATCAACTTAACCTTTCATGTCAAATCTTTTTTATTTCAATTGAAGTATAGTTGATTTACAATGTTGTGTCATGTCACATCTTAAATATCAGTCTTTAGAGACTACTTCTCTGACACCCTAACGTAATTATTCTCTGTTCTAGATCTCCATGCTTTTCTTGTGACATTTCTGGCTCCTGTATAATTAATTCTTGTGTGGTTGGGTTTTGTCCATCACTTTCACTAAATTTTATGCTCCTAGAAGGTAGGGGAGATGTTTGTTTTTCCTTCTGTGGAATCCCAGGGGCAGCAGCACAGGCTTGGCACAAGGTCAGCACTAGGTAAGGAAGTGTTTCAGGAACAGCTAAAGGGTTGTGAGATGAGAGGAGGAAGCAGAGAGTGTCTTTCCGGTGGAGGCATTCAGGAGGAGGTGATGATGGGTCAAATCCTGGTCCCGCTCAGGCTTGGAGGTCTCCAGCCAAGTACAGAGCTGACTGCATCCCAGATGCCTTAGGATCAGAGGGGTCTCCTCCACCCACCATGGTCTCGCTTGACCCTGCAGATCAAAGATGAGCCTGTGGGTTGCTTGTAGTTGGGGGCGCCAGTGGAGCTAATGAAGGGGGTCCTAGTGCTCCCACCCACGCTTGAGCGCCCTGCATTGGTGGGTGTAGCAGTTAATCATTTCCCAGGAGCCCGCCCAGTGACCAGATCTTTCATGTCCTCATAGCAGTTTTCATGCATCAGTTTAAGGCGAGTGTCATTTCTCCAACGGGATGGAGCAGGTGCGGTTCTTGGCCAGATACACCTACAACGCGCAGGAGGATGTGCACTTCGACAGTGACGTGGGGGAGTTCAGGGCGGTGACCGAGCTGGGGAGGCCGGACGCTGAGTACGGGAACCAGCAGAAGGACTTCATGGAGCAGATGCGGGCCAAGGTGGACACGGTGTGCAGATCCAACTACTGGGGTATTGGTAGCTTCATGACGCAGCGGCGAGGTGAGCCGAGGGAGGAGGGTGGCCAGGGAGAGGCGGTGTGTGTGTGTGTGTGTGAGTGAGAGAGAGAGAGACAGAGACAGAGAGAGACAGAAACAGAGACAGAGACTCAGTCTGGGTGAGCGTTGGATTGTGAGCATTACACGTTGAGAAAGTTACTGTGAGAGGGTGAGACAGGGAGTGAGTCTCACAGGCTGTCAGGGAGACAGTGTGTGACCTTGTCAGTGTGTGATTGTGAGAGGGGAGAGAGCATGTGGTGCGAGGAGGGGGCCTGGGGTCTGGGAGGACCGGGAGGGAAGGGAGGTGTCGGGGAAGGGATGCAGGAAGGATGGATGGATCTAGGCATCTTTGGCGGTGCTGTGGGAAAGGTGAGGTGGGAGAAAGGGGGAGGAGAGATGGAGGAATACTGATTGGGGTGGTTGGTTAGGGAGGGAAGGGAATTTAAATGTCTGTGGTTGAGCTACCCAGAAAAGAGCTTTGGAACTTGGACATTTATGGAAAGGTGTGGTAAAGGGGCTTAGCACCTGATCTTCCTGGACAATGGACCCTTTGCTTCATGTCTGAGTCTTTTGGTTCTATGGTCAGGGAGAAACTTTGACTCTGGGTGTTTGGCTCTAGGTCAAAATTTTATGCTCTGCTCATGCTTCAGCTGCATGACTCATGGTTTTGTTCTGTGGTCTCTGTAAAAAAAACTCAGCATCTTGCTAGAAACTGAATAGTTTCCAAACCAGTTTGGAGCTGGTTCTGGGGTTACACAATTATAAGAATTATTTTTTTTTAATTAGTGACTTTCCTTCCTGCTTTCCCTGTCCTTCAGGACTCAAGTTTTTCTTGGGATTCAACTCATAGAGTTAGAGATTCACCTGTGTCTTTCCTTCTTCCAAGGGTAGAACCTTTTCTGAGGTGTTCTAAGGTGTGAGTGCCTGGAGACAGCTTTCCCAGGATTTCATCCTCTGTCTCCACACACACCCCCCTGCTGTTCCCTAATTCATCCACACTGCTTTGAATCATATTTTCTTTCAAATTAAACAAGGGTAATAAATAGCTCTGTTATATTGAAGGCTAAATTCCAGTTACTGTTTTACATACCTTAGGTGCATTAATCCTCACATAATGCTAAGAGGTAAATTAAGTATAATTATCCCCCTTTATAGATGAGAAAGCTGAGGCACAGAAGAATGTAAAAATTCTCCCAGGATCAATCACTAAGAGGGAGAGCCTGGATTTCAACCTAGGCAGTCTGACTTCAGAAATTATGCTTTTAATTAATACACTATATGCCTTGCAAAGGTTTGTAAACACTTCAACTTAACAATGAATTACTATTCATACTATGAAACACACACACACACACACACACACACACACACACACACACAGACATTTCCTCAACATCTCTCAAATCTAATGGACCCATGCTGTAAGAATTAAAGTCAAGGTTTATGGCACTAACTCCTAAAGTTGGGCCACATGGCCATCTTTGAGGGAGACCTGCCCAAGGCTGCAGTCTGGGACTGGAGAGTGGATGCAGAAAGGCAGCCAACCAACGAGACTTACTCTGTCTCCCTCATTTATCCCCTCTACCTATTTCTCTCCTAGTGGCGCCTACAGTGACTGTGTATCCTGCAAAGACACAGCCCCTGCAGCGCCACAACCTCCTGGTCTGCTCTGTGAATGGTTTCTATCCAGGCCACATTGAAGTCAGGTGGTTCCGGAACGGCCAGGAAGAGGAGGTGGGGGTGGTCTCCACAGGCCTGATCCCTAATGGAGACTGGACCTTCCAGACCATAGTGATGTTTGAAACAGTCCCTCAGAGTGGAGAGGTCTACACCTGCCACGTGGAGCACCCCAGCCGGACCAGCCCTGTCACAGTGGAATGGAGTGAGAAGCTTTCTGGCCTCATAAGTTCCTCCCCTACCAAGGAGGGGGCTTTGATTACCACTGATTGTCAGGTTTCTCCTCTCCTTGTACCATATTTTTATTTGCTTCATGTTCTTCTCTTTTTCAGCACAAGTTACTGGGAGTAGCCCTGTGATATCCTGTGATAGAAATCCTCTGATAGTTTGTAGATATCCTTTGATAGTTTCTATAAATACCTATACCCACTGGTGAGACAATTCTGCCTGGCAGGCAGAGAAGAGGTGTCCCTGTTCTGAGCCTCCATGATATCACAATTCATGGTCACCCCATTGCCCAAGGCACCAGACCCTTGGGCAATGTAAGGCTGGGCTTGTGCTTCTGACACTGTTTCTCTGAGATGTTCACTGTGATCTGAGAAGGGCCACATCCTCTACAATGTAGAGACCTTCCTGACATGAGGGGAGTCCAACCTCAGTTCTGCTTTTTATTAGCTCTGCCACCCTAGACAAGCTCCTTAACCTCATTCAGCCCCAGGGTCCTCATCTATCAGATATTGAAGTCATGTGGCCTTATGTCAGGGCTGTAATATTTAAATGAATTTAGTGCCTTAACCTTGAAGCTACTCAGTGTGATTTAAAGATGTTTTCCTAGGAATGGACAATTACTCTATTTCTTCCAGGGAAGCCTTCTTTCCCCATTCTCAAAGCTCTCAGTCTTAGAGACTGAAACAGAGAAGTTGGATTTGGGATAAAAAATTACTAAAACTAGCCTCTTTCCCCAGGGGCACAGTCTGAATGTGCTCAGAGCAAGATGCTGAGTGGAACTGGGGGCTTTGTTCTGGGTCTGCTCTTCCTTGGGGTGGGGCTGTTCATCTACTTCAGGAATCAGAAAGGTAAGGAGCCTGTTGGCAGCTGAGACTCCCAACAGACGTTTTGGGGAAGAAATATGACTTTGACCGGTTAGTTCTCTCTATATCAATAACCCTGTATAAAGTCTTTCTTTACCTAGTTGACCTCAAATTGCCTGGAAATCCAGAAATTGACAGTCCATGGTTAGCTGTGGTTGAAACATAAAAGGTGATGGCCTGCAGAGATAAGAAAAAGGTTAACATGCATGGAGATTTTGGGTGGAGATCCTGGGGCAAATGCAGGAAGAGACACAGGGGTGATGAAATTACACTGGATTTGTGTGACAGAAGCTTCATCCTCTCAGTGTCTGTTCTCTCTATCCTGGCATCATGTGAAGTGGGTTGTGGTGTTAGAGAAGTCTTAGAAGTGTTGTCTGGGCCCAGGGACATTGTGTTTGGGGATAGATTTACCTCCCTATCTTTTAAGTATATATCTTCCCTTCTCTTTTCCAGAACACCCTGCACTTCAGCCAACAGGTAATGCTCTTTAACTCTCTTTTAGGATCATATTTAGCCTCCCTAGAACAGATGGTAGAAGTGACAAGACAGGAGACAGAAATAATGAGAAAGACTTTGGATCTGACTTCTGATCAAGCAGTTTACATCAAAGCTTCTTCTCTCCACTAAACAGAAGGCTTGAACTCTAAAAGTGGCTTTGGCTCAGGGAGACTTAAGAATTTTTCCCCTTCTTACTGTAGTGCTTTATCATGAAGCCCTGAGAGACAGAGAGAGGGAAAAAAGCTGCTTGTAAAGTTAAGACGGGAAATGACACTGTCCTCTGTCTCCTGCAGGACTCCTCCGCTGAAGTGAAGATGGATGGTGACACTCAAGGAAGAACCTTCTGTCCTGGCTTCTTCATGGCCTAAAAAGGTCTCCTGCTTAGCTCTTATTCTTCCAAAATGAGAGTGTTTATCAGGATCTGGTTTGCTCCTGGTTGAGTGACCCTGCAGAAAACGTCCTTCTTGCTGGTTTCCTCAGCCCCCGCGTTTGACCCGGACATTCCTCATATTGACTGCAACATCTTATCTTCATTCTTTCCTGGTTCCCTCTGTTTTCACCCTTTACTGCCTCCTGTGCACCTGATCTCATCTTCTGTCCATATTATTATATAATGTTTTTCTCAAATAAATATGGAGTGACAATCATCTGCTTCAGACAGTTTCAAGGAAAGAAGAAGAAAGAAAAGAGAAAGGGAGGATTTCATCACAAAACTATTAATGGTTATTATTTATATTCCTGAATTTTGGTCACTTGTGGAACTGGAGGTTTCCTTGTTTCTCTCCCTGTTTTTTCCTTGAGTTTTCTGCATTTTGTCATTAGGCATGTTTTCCTGAGCTAGGAGAAAGCCCTTAATTGACCCTATCATGATGGTTTCCTGCATCTTTGTAATCTCAAAGATAAGCACACTTTATAAAAAATCTGTTATTATTTAAAAATTATGAAATTTATAGTCATGCTCTTTTTCTCTTTTTCCATGATTTTTAAAGAAAGTATCTAATCCTGGGTTAGTTCACACCTTGATCACCTCTTTAATTAGACTAATGGTGGGCTTCAACATTTGTCTTTTTCTGTCACTCAGATAAACATCAGTGACTCTTTGGCTGGGATGCATTCTTCCCCATAAATAGGTTTTGGAAGACCATCAGGACAGAGCCACAACTCATGTCAATAAGATGCATTTCTGAGGCCCTCCCGTTTCTGTCACAAACTTACTGTCTTTCAAGGGAAAATCCTGTATGGATCTTATCTCAGCAGAAATCAGAGACAATTCTGAGAAACAAAGGAAAATTTATGAATACAGGGATGTTCATTCAAACAATGAAATATCCTGCAGTTAGAAGACAAATGAGAATCCCTGTTATGGAATAATCCCCCAAATGCACTTTCAGTAGGTATAGGAGATTTGTATAGTATACAACATTTAAAAAAAATAAGATGGAGGAGAATAGAAATATATAACTATACCCTATCTATCTATCTATCTATCACTTACTTACATTTGTAAATATAATCAGTGACAGGATATTTTTTTAAAAATGGTTGCCTTTAGGGCCAGATGAGAGAATAGGTTGAAGGGGACAAATATGAAAGCCAGACTTTTTCGAATATATTTAACAGTTTTAACTTGAGGGACATTCAAATATTTTATGTAATAAAAAATATAAATCAAACGTTTAATAAGGAGATATATAAAAACTAAAAACAAACTGGAATGATTAAAACAAACTTGACAAAAAGTATATGATGGGAAACAAGCTAGAAAAGTAAATCAAACTTTTTTTGACCCTTGCATAAAAGATTGTGGAACTCTAATTGTAAATAAGTATATAGTTCTAAATTCCAAAGACTTTAATAATGTAAGGGAGTTGGATAGGCTCAGAGGAAGGTAATTAAACTGGTTAAGAAGATGGTGGGTTCTGCTATTGTATTGCATCTGAAGAGTCTGTTTCAAATGTAAATCAAATCTAAACAGTAGTTAATAGATTCAGAAGTTTATTTCAAAGTAATAGTTGAATTCTCCACAGTCAGACATAACTATTACTTTATTTTCAAGCAAATTAAAAGCTTATTTTTGCATATGTTAATTATACTGTGTTATTTGTGTGAAACAGGTTATCATCCTGTAGGAGTTTGATAAACCAGTAGTCATGTTTGTAATGTGCATACAGTTGGGATAAGTTCTGTTTGATCCCAGGGTTGCACCTTTACTGTCACTTTGTTCTCTGGGATGAAAAAATAAGTTGTCTCATTTTATTTGAGGCCTGTGGTGTGAAATGATAAGGTAAAATTAAAGTATACGGTATGCATGTATCTATGAAGATGCTTTCTGCTGCTAGTAACAGATAATCCAATCTAATCGGCTTTACTTTTCTTTAAGTTATTTATCTCACATAACAGATAGACCCAAGGTAGGGAATCTCCAGAGTTGGTCAATTCATCAGGCCAGTTGCATCACCAATGATCTTAAAGGCAAGAAAAGAGAACTGTTTCTTCTCGTGTGGTTTTATAAGGAGCAACCAAACTTTTTCCAGAGTTTTCCCAATAGACCCACTTCCCCACACATTAGGAGGACCATGGATTACAACGGTAGGCTCAGACAAACCATGATTCATCCTTTGTGACATGGGCCTGCCTCCCGTGTTACACAAGGGAAGAAAAGGTCTAAAATCATCTTTTTTAGAGAGAAAGAAATGGTCCATGGGTAAGGAGGATGATTTTAGGGTATGGAAGTATTAGATTGTGTTTTTAGTAATTTCCTTATGAAGGATGATAGGTATTTAATGGACAGCATCATTACAAGGATTTTTTTTAGCATTGAGACTTAAATATCAGCCATAAGCCACTTCCTTCCCCCCAAAAAGCAAGCAAGCAGGAGGATTATTTACTTGATTTTAGAACACATACTGACTCTTAATTTTGTGAGGAAAAGTATATTTTCCAGGGAAATTTTTTTTTTAAAGACACATAATGAGGAATGACTCACTTTTTAAAATGCTAAAACCTATTATACCTCTATTTCATTAAGCACTTTTTGGCATTCATTCATTATTTGTTATATACAGCAGTAAAACAAAGTCCAGAATTAGATCCCTGGATATTTGAGGTTTAGATTTGTATAGAGAGTTTCAAGTTGTTTGTCAGGTATAGCCCATACTCATTCCTTTAAACAAAATGGATACTTCACAAATATGCATGTGCAGATGTTCATAGCAACATCAGTTATTATAACACAAAACTGGAAACAAGCTTAGTATCCATCAGTCAGTGAATGGAAAAACAAAATGCACTGTATCTATACAATGGAAGACTATTTAGCAATAAAAAAGAACAAGTGAAACACATTTAAAGGAATTGATGATACATGATGCAAAATGGATGAACTTCAAAAATATACTAAGTGAAATAAGCCAGACACAAAAGACTACTTGTCATATGATTCCATTTACATGAAACATCTAGAAAAGGCAAATTTATAGACTGAAAGCGAATCAGTGGGTCTCTAGGGCTTGGGGTGGGGGTGGGAATTAACTGTAAACAGGAAACTTTTTGGGGTGACAGAAATGTTCTAAAACTGGATTGTGGTGATACTTGCACATATCTATAAAATTACTAGAAATTTCCCAGTTGAGTATGATGTAAACTGTGGGTTTGCCATAATTAGCCTTTATTATGTTCAGCTCTGTTACTTCTAGATCCATTTTATTGAGTTTTAATCATAAATAGGTATTGAATCTTTTTAACTGCTTTTCATACATTTATTTAAATAATCATGTAAGTTTTATCCGTCAGTTTTTAATATGGTGTATCATGTTGATTGATATGCTGATGTTGAAATATCCTTTCATCCCTGTAATAAATCCCACATCATGGTGTATGGTCCTTTTAATGTATTGTTGCATTTGGTTTGTTAATATTTTGTGGAGAATTTTTACATGTATGTTCATCACAGAAATTGGCCTGTAATTTTGTGTGTGTGTGTTGTATCTGGTTTTTCTATCAGGGTAATGTTGAATCATAAAATGAGTTAGGAAGCATTCCTTCCTCTTCAATTTTTTGGAATAATTTGAGAACAATACGTATTAAATCATTGAATGTTTGGTAGACTTCATCTGTGAAGCCATCTGGTCTTGGATTTTTGTTTTTTGAGAGGTTTTTGATTACTCTTTCAATCTCTGGGCTGGTGGTTGGTCTATCAGATTTTCTGTTTCTTCATGAGTCAGTCTTGGAAGGTTGGGTGATTCTAGGAATATGTTTATTCTTCTAGGTTGTCCAATTTGTAGGTGTATAGTGTTCATAATATTCAATTATAGTTCTTTGTATTTCTGTGGTATCCATTGTTATTTCTCCTCTTTCATTTCGGATTTTATTTATCAGATCCTTTTCTCTCTCTCTCTCTCTCTTTATTTTCTTAGTCAGTCTAGCTAAAGATTTGAGAATTAAAAAAGAAAAAGTTTTGCCAATTTTGTTTATCTTTTCAGTGAATCAGCTCTTAGTTTCGTTGATCCTTTCTGTTGCCTTTCTACTCTCTATTTCATTTATTTCCACTCAGATCTTTAATATTTGCTTCCTACTGTCTTTGGGATTCATTTATTCTTCTTTTTCTAGTTCCTTTAGGTGTAAGGTTAAATTGTTTGAGATTTTTCTTACTTCTTGAGGTAGGCCTGTATTGCTATAAATGTCCCTCTTAGTATTTCTTTTGCTGCATCCAAAGGTTTTGGTATTTCATATTTTTATTTTCATTTATCTTTAGGTACTTTAAAATTTTCTTCTTTGATTTCTTCATTGACCTAACGGTTATTTGGTAGCATGTTGTTCAGTCTCTGTGTATTGGTGATTTTTCCAGCTTTCTTCTTGTAGTTGATTTCTATTTTCATACCATTGTGATCAGCAAAGATGCTTGCTATGATTTGAATCTTCTTAAATTTATTGAGACTTGTTTTGTGTCTCAACATATGGTTTATTCTTGAGAATGTTCCATGTGCACTTGAGAAGAATGTGTATTCTGCTGCATTTGGATGGAATGTCTTTACAAATATTTAAAATCCATCTAGCCTAATGTCTTTTTTAAAGCCACTGTTTCTTTGTTGATTTTCTGTCTATATGGTCTATCCACTGATATAAGTGCAGTGTTAAAGTCCCCTACCATTATTGTGTTGAGTGTTGATTTCTCCCTTTAGATAGATTAATATTTGATTTATATATTTTTGTGCTCCTGTGTTATGTGCACATATATTAATAACAGTTATGTCTTCTTAATGAATTGTTCCCCTTATCATTATAAAATGTCCATCTTTGTCTCTTTATCTTTTTTGGCTTGATGTCTATTTTGTCTGATATGAGTGAGGCTCCACCCACTTTCTTTTGGCTGCCATTTCCTTGGAGTATCATCTTCCACCCCTTCACTTTGAGCCTGTTTGCCTTTATAGCTGAGGAGAGTCTCCTTAGAGGCAGCATATAGTTGGGTCTTGTTTGTTAATCCATCCATCCACTGTGTGCCTTTGATTGGTGAATTCAATTCATTTACATTTAGGGTGATTATTGATAAATGAAAACCTAGCACTAACATTTTGTCTTCTCTTTTCTGGTTGCTCTATATCTCCATTATTTCTTTTCTTTGTGTCTCTGTCTGCCATTTTAGTTTGGTGATTTTGCATAATGTTTTTCTCAGTTTCCTCTTTTTTGTTTCGTGTGTCTGCTCTAGGTTTATGTCTTTTGGTTACCTTGAGGTTTGTATAAAGTGCCTTACAGATAAAATAGTCCTTTTTCTGTTGATAGCATCGTATCTCCATTTGCCCATACGGGTTCCATCCTTCTCCTCTTGTTCTCTTATGTTTCTGTTGTCTAAAGTTATCCCTTTCCATGTTGTGAGCTTGTTACCAAATTGAGGCAGCTATAGCTATTTTTACTGCTTTTTTTCCTCCCTTTCCCTTTCATGCTATAATGAAGTGTTTTAAGATCTGTTGTGATATAGAGTTGCAATTTTCTGATTCTGTCTGTCAGTATATCACCTTACTTAAAGTTTTGTATACTTTTGCCTTTATGTCTCAGGTAAAAGGGCACTTTCAGCTTTTCTTGTAAGGTTTATGTTGGTGACCTCCTGCAGCTTTTGTTTGTCTGGGAAAGCCTTTACTTCTCCTTCATATCTGAATGATAACTTTGCTGGAGAGAGTATTCTTGGCTGACAGTTTTTACCTTTCAGAAGTTTGAGTTTGTCATTTCACCTTTCTGTCGAGTTTCTGCTGAGAAATCTGCTGATAGTCTAATGAGGGCTCCTTTGGAGTATACCATCCTTTTTCCTTGGCTGCCTTTAAAAGTCTTTCTTTGTCATTAATTTTTGAGAGACTTAATGTAATGTGTCTTGCAGAGGTCTTTTTGCATTGAGGTAATTAGGTTTGTTCTTAGCTTTGCGGACTTGCATATCCAATTCCTTTCACAGGTTTAGGAATTTCTCAGCTATTATTTCTTTGAATAAACTCTTTGCTCCCTTCTCCTTCTTTTTTTATTTTTATTTTTTTGTGATACCCATTATCCTAATTTTCCCTTTGTAAAAGAGTCAAATAATTCTCATAGAATTTCCTCATTTATTTTTAGATCTTGAGTCTCTTTTCTCTTCTACTTGTATCATTTCTAGATTTCTATCTTCAAACTCATTAAGTCTCTCTTCCATATGGTCTCCTCTATTTCCAATGCTTTTAATGCATTCTTCATCTCATTTACTGATTTCTTCAGCTCTAGGATTTCTGTTTTTTTCTTTTTAGAGTTTCTACCTCTTTTGTAAATATTCCTTATGTTCATTATTTTTATTCCTGAGCTCATTGAACTGCCTTTCTGGATTTTCTAGTACCTCGTTATTTTGAAATCTCTGTCAGATCACAGTAGTCCATGACTTTAAGTTTGGTTTCTGGGAAATTGCCATTTTGTCATTTTCTCTTTGTGGTACCATGTAACAATGGTTCTTCATGGTGGTTGAAGAGTTGTTCCTCTGCTGGTGTATTTGAAGTAGTGAACACCTTTCTTCTTTAGGTAAAGCTTAAAAATTTTTTTAAAACCTTAATTCTGAGTTCTTTCTGTGGTTTCCAGTAGGTGGTGCTACAGCACAGGTTTTTGGTTTCTCCTACTAGAGCTGCCTCTGGTTATGTTTGAGAGTTGGCAATTTCCACCTCTCACTGCCTCTGTCAGAGGTGCTGGCTACCTAGTACCCTCGTTGCTACTGCTTGTACTTCCTGGGTCATTGGTACCTTGCAGCTGCCAGTGTCACTGGCATTGCCACCTGGGGCAATGGGGTGATGGGCACTTCTGGATGGAGCATGGGGGTCTCCTGAGTCACAGGCTCTGCTGCTGTTGGGAGGGGAAGAAGAGGGTGGGGGGAAGTGGGCCAGGGTCAAGGGCTTTTCTACTCTGTTCTGAGTTGTCAGGTACACTGGAACCACCACTGTGGGCAGAGGCCGGGGGGGCGGAGTTGTGGCTTCCTCTGTGATGGAAGGATGGGGTTGTAAGCCCCCCTACTGCTGCTGCCTAGTTCCCTGTGGCTGTGGGCACTGTTGTGGCCAGGAGGCTAGAGTCCTGTGCTCCACCTCCCCTGTGGCTGCTGGGTTCTCTAGGGCTGCGAGCTCAGCTGCTTAGGCTGGGGCCGCTGGATCACAGACACCACCTTCACTGTTTTCCCGCTTTGCCTCCTTTGTGTGTTCCAGTCCACCCACCTGCAGATATATAGATGTGTGGAATTCTCCAGCATCCTGGTGTGTCAGGCAGAGCCATCTTTGTTGAGTTGTGGATGCTTCAGTGGTTGTAGATGAGGGGGACAGACAAAGGAAACATCTTACTCCACCATGATGATGATGATGTTACTCTCACCGTTTCTTATTAATAATATTTTTTCCTTAAATGAAGAGACCACTGACCTGCTTCTCACTAAGTTCCAGTTTAGTGGTGGTAGCTTCCAAAAACTACAGAGAATATTCTGAGACTATTTGGACAAGACTCATTCTACGCCAACTGGCTTGCTGACAGCTAAGACCCCATTTTCCCCAATGTATTGCAACCCTTCAGGCTTACTACAAGTGAGTCCTAGTCTGTGACGATTAGTAGTACTCAAGGCATTCTGTAATGATACAAATTTCAGTCTTCCTGTTGTTCAACAAGTCTGTGCTTCTGATGCCACTTGTTTGCTCGCACGAGTGTTGCAATTTATTTTCCATAAAAACAAACCTGTGGTCTCACACAACAAGAGCAAAGACTAGAACTTCTGTACTGATAACCACTCTCTTCCAGAAACCAATATAACTGCCTTTTCTTTAGGAAATAAGCCTTTATTTGACACTTCTTTTACAGAGCAGAAGCTGAACAGGATTGCTTCTCCTCTTGCCTTCAGTGAAGGAGCTCAGCCTCAGGATCACCTGTGGGAGTAATGGTTTGCTGACAATCGCTGCATTGTTTTACGTGAACTGTCCTTCTATTGAATTAATATTGCAGAAAAGTTGAAATATATAATATTTAGAGCAGCACATTTTTATTATTCGTAAATGTATACAACGTACAGAATTTAGGTCATCGTCATTGGTTCATCCTCTTTTAAAATAAATTTGTAAGATTTGTATATTGTATGTGAAATTTATATGAGGAAGTTTTGGTAGTGCTCTCTTTAACTATGTTTCAGTATATATATATTATACAATTAGTAAATTGCACATCAAACTTATATGAACAAGTTTTGATACTGTTCTCTTTAATTCTATTTCAGTATGTTCTTGATATAGAATTACTTTTCTTTGCCATTCTTTTTATCCTATAATCTAAGGTGAACCTTAGTTTGACTTTCTCAGATTTTCACATGTCACAACTAGTTAATTCTGAGTAAATTATGATTTTCTCTTGGTCAAGTTAAGCATGAGATTCTCATGGTTGCGACTGCACAATATCCAATAGTACTGAACTATCACTGGAGTCTTAGGGACATAGATTGTTCTGGAATCCAGGGACAATAGTGACTTCTACCCAACCTCTCCAAGAATTTTGAATTTTCCACATTAATAGAAATATATTATTCCATGGTAAGCAAGATACTATTTCTATTCTACTCCAAAGTGTTCAGATTAACACTACATTATGCCAAGAAATCTAAAATAATGATTGAGGACAATGGATTAGATTTAGGAATTTGGAAGCCTCTGCAACCTCAATAAGCAGGATACTTGTGGGGAGCAACGGGCATTACATAAGACAAATGCAAACACTGTCATTTCCAGAGGAGGAGGAGGGTTACAATGTTGATGAAGGGAAATTTTAAAGAATTATAATTGCTATACTGTAGCTACTTCAATTTATATGATGCTGTCAGTCATTAAAAGGAGTAGTTTTATTGATATGCATATCCGTGAATTAAAGTGATAAAAATAGTTTAAATGTAAGGGACATTATTTTCTTTAGAAATTAAATCTGAGGTGGTATGATGTGATGGCTGAGCTTGCAGGGTTTGAAATCACATGTAACTTGGCTCAATCTGGAATGTACCATTTACTAGTCTTGTATCCTTGCAAAGATTATCTAACCTCCTTCCACTATTTTATTTTCTCCATTTGCAGGATTAAAAAGGGTACTTGAATCACTGAGATGACGTGAGAATTACATTTTAAAAAGACATATAAAAAGTCTTTGTATAATTCTGGGTACTAAGTAAAGCTCTCAAAATTTACTCAATAAATTTTAATCATTTTAAAGCAGCATGATGAGTACTGTCACTAGAAATATTAAGGCACATAAAGAATGGCTTGGGCAGAGTGTGAATTAATGCATAATTTTAAATAAATAGTTGCATTTAAAGTCCATTCTAAATCTGAAATATTATATTTATGTTAGTATAATGTGTAATAATAATCTAAAAGTAGAATTACATTTTTAAGATTATATGACTACATCAAAGGATATAATTCGTAGTTTTTTCATAGGGTTCTATTTATGAACACTCCATAATGTATTCATTAGCGATGAATATAATATCTTCTGGGGATAAAGCAAGAGAAGGTGAATTATAAGAGGACATGTTCCCAAGAAAATAAGAAAATCCTAATGGGAGCCAAGAATAAGGAATTGAACATATTTTACATAAAATATTAATTATTCCAAAGAGGAGGTGTTGTGTCAAAGGCTGATTTTGACTTATCGATCTTTCAGTCACTTGCAAACTCTGATCAGTACAGCTGGCTTTATCACACTGTTAAGTTAAATGTTAAAAAGATGCCTTCAAGATCTTCCATTCCATGCAGATTGCCTCCTCTAAGCCCCTTTCTGTATGAATATTCTGGAGGTGCCACTAAACTTAGACAGCATCAGGAGACAAACCTGTAAAGTTTTTTCACTCATGTTAAGTAATTCACTAAATTTCCATTTCCTTTAGTTTATCAGAGACACCCCTGCCTGTCAGGAAGTACAGATTATAAACAACAGCTATAATTCTGTCACATCATCAGTTACCAGGGGATGGTGTTTCTTAAAGCATCCAGAGAATCACAGCATTTTTCAGTATTGTTATACCTGAAAGATCACAGTGCCTTCATTTCAATTGCAGAGGTTAAATAATTTCGCCAAATCTACAAGTACAAGAAGGACCAAATTAAAGGTCTCCTAAATTGCAATCACTTTCTCTCTACCTGCTCAACTCCTAAACACACTCACACATATATTTGTCAAAATATCTATGTCTTCGAGTAAGAGAAATGAATGATCTTTAGGCTCAAACATGTGACACATCATTGACCAGCAGGGAGCTGGCTCTCAAGAGAAGCCCAAATAAAATGTGTCAGATACAACTGGATCAAACATTTAAAGCACTAAATTAAAACAATCCTTTTAATGGAGGAAATTCTAAGTCTCAGAAGAGGACCTTCATACTGAATCTCTGACCAGTAACTGATGATGCTTCTCATCTGTGATGCTGATTGGTTCTCCAACACTGAGATAACCCAATCCAGGAGCAAATACTGAATTCCTTGGTTGGTATCACTTGGGTGGAGGAGAGTCACAGTTCCCAATTCAGCGAGGCTTGCCTGCTCCCCTCACACCCTGTCCTCTCCTGTTCTCCAGCATGGTGTCCCTGTATTTCTCCGGAGGCTCCTGGATGGCAGCTCTGACAGTGATACTGATGGTGCTGAGCCCGCCCCTCGTTTGGGCCAGGGAGACCCGATGTAAGTGAACACTTTGGGGGGTGAGCTATTGTGGGGTGGGGGAAGGAAGGGAGTTAGCTTTATCTCTGTGTCCAGACCAGCCTTCTTTAAAAGTTGTGACTTTTCGGGCTTCTCTGGTGGGGCAGTGACTTTGTTTTTAGTGACCACCTATCTTTATCACATGGATCTCCAATCTATATACAACAAAATGTTCCTGGATACTTGCCCTCTCAATGAGTGTGGCATACGTAGCCTCCATATCTATAGTCTATTTCTTCTCAAGTGTCCTGCAATGAACCTTCCCCAGCCTTGCATCCCATCCCTTCAGGTGTTTGAAAAGATTTAGAAAAAATGATATTAAAATAATTCTCCATTAACAGATCTCTTTATTATGTTGAATTGTACAAGAAAAAGGGTAAGTTTCTCTGAAGATTTTATGGAGGATCTAAATAATTCGGAAGATCTCTCCTAGAAGGTTCTGTGTTGTGTCCTCAACAGGATCTGTGATGCTGCTACCTCTCCCTAATATATGAGGATGTATCAAGGGAACTCCCCCATTATCTTCTTTCCATTTTCCCTGAACTCCAATGTTTATAAGGTTTGAATCCCTGTACTAGGAGTTCTTTGACAGAAGTTGGGGTTAGTTTTCTCTCTATTTCTCCTGGGTAAGGCACCCTGGAGTGGAAACAGGTATTCTTAGTACTTGGAATGACCCTGTAGTTAAAGAGCACCTATGGGGTGTTCTTTGATGCCTTAAAAAATGTAAGGCATCTTCTGAACACCCAACACAGGTTAGTGACCATTATGAATCTATTTTGAGCCTTTCTTTTTTTAAAAAAAAAATTATTTATTTATTTATTTATGGCCGAGTTGGGTCTTTGTTGCTGTGTGCGGGTTTTTCTCTAGTTGTGGCAAGCGGGGGCTACTCTTCGTTGCGGTGTGCGGGCTTCTCATTGCGGTGGCGTCTGTTGTTGTGGAGCAACATGGCATGAGGGCTTCAGTAGTTGTGGCTCACGGGCTCTAGAGTGCAGGCTCAGTAGTTGTGGTGCATGGGCTTAATTGCTCTGCGGCATGTGGGATCTTCCAGGACCAGGGCTCGAACCCGTGTCCCCTGCATTGGCAGGTGGATTCTTAACCACTGCACCACCAGGGAAGCCTGAGCCTTTCTATATTATCAGTTTCCCTCATATCTCCCCCTTCTCTGGCCAGAGCATAGAATAAATTATATGAAATTCTCATTTTGTAGTTCACAGATAGTCAAATATCTGCAGTTTTACATGGGAAACCATGTACCTCATTAGGGTACAGACAGTGTGAAAGTTGTTTCCATCCCATTGGGCTGAAAGCTGGTAAGCAAGTCAAGGGAACTCTTTGGTTTCTTGGAGTCTTGTACCCAAATTTCATAAGATCATGCATCATGCCCTCTGTTTTCCTTAATCAGCTATGTTTGGTTACCTCAAATTTTAGTTCCTCCCTATTTTTCCCCAGCTATGTCATCACCAGATCTGATAATCCCCAAAGTATGCACAGACCCTCAGCATTATAACAGGTTCACTGGATGATTTTGAACATAATGAACTCTTCCCATTCTCTTAAAATTACCATTTCCTACCTGTGAATGTTTCTTCCAACTAGTAGAATAAGAAAGAGGAAATTTGGGTTTTTCATGAGAAGTAGAAGGGATGTAATGTGTCATCAGAATAAAAGAGTGTTGGAGCTGAACCCTTTCTTGCTTTCTGGGATGCCCACAAAAATCATTTCCTAGAACCCTGGGTTTATTAATTTAGACTACAAATATTTTTCTGAGCAACTATTATTATATGCTGGGCTCTATTCTGGGCTCAGACAATCCTATCTGAATAAGTTAGAAAAATCCCCAATTATCTTGGAACTTACTTAATGACAAGAAAGACAACAATCCAATAAACATTTAACAACAACAATGACAACCAACAAAACCAAAAAAACATTTCAGAGAGCAACAAGTCCTCTGAAAAGAATAGTTCAAGGTTATGGGACAGAGAGTATTGGATTCACGTGCCTTCAATTCAAGTGTCTAGGGAGCTCTCCCTGGAAAGGTGACATTCAATTGAGACATAAATGATGAGAAGAAGCCAGACATGTGAGGGATCTAAGGGACAAATGCTCCAGGGAGAAGGACCAAGGGAAAGGCCAAACTGTGGGAAGATGTTTGCTCTTTAAGGGACAGAAAGAAGGCTAGAGTGACTGAAGCAGAGCAAGCAAGTTGG